ATTCATATATATAGTCTTACGGAGTTACATTTGATTTTAGAACGGAAAGGATATATCGAGGCCTTACCATAAAATATAAAAAAAAAACTAAATAAATAAGGCGGACGCTAGCTAATATTGATTTATCTCATGCTTACTAAATAATTTGTAAGGCTCAGAATTATCTGCTATTGAAGAGTGAAAGAACAATTGGAAAGAGACTCTAGATGCCGATATTAAGAAGATAGAGGTAACAACTCATATGTGTTAGTATATGTAGAGATTTTGAATAAATCATTGGGTTGAGTGTATGCACATCTATTACACATTTGTGCTCACTAATTCTGATATTTGATTGAATAGTTTGTACTTGATTTCCTTGTTTTGTTATGTTATGGTACAAACTGGTGAGATTGAGAACTTTGTTTTTTTTTGTTTGATTATACTTTGATTTCTTTGTTTCATACATGTGTGTTGTTCGTGTTTATTATTTTGTTGTTTTATTTATATCAGGACTTTTGAGTTCAACCTTGGCGGAGCTGTGGAGTGTATATGTTCTGTTTTAATTGCATTTACATGGATTTTTTTTTTTATTAATGTATATGAATGATACTCTAATGGTTGATGGTATATTGATCATTTGATACTTTAGGTTGAATTCTTTATAAAGTAGTGGAGAATTGATTGTAATGAACGACTATTTTTATGTAATTTATATTTTATTATTTCCGATCCGTTTTATAATTAATTTTTATTTTCAGTAATTATGATTTTTTTATTTATTTTTTATTTTTTAATTTTTAATTTTTTTTTAATTTTTTTTCTAATTTTTCTAACGGATATATCCGTTAGGAACTTAGTAATAAGTGTTACGAATTGAACCGTTACAATGAATTTTCTAACGGATAGCAACTGTTAGAAATAATTATTTTTCTAACGGTTAGTTTTTTTTCCTAACGGATATATGCATTAGAATGTTTTGGCTCTGAATTTCTAACGCCATATTTTTAACGGTTTTTCGCCATTACAATAATTATTTGTAACGGTCAATATCCGTTAGAAAAAGCCTTTTTTGGTGTAGTGCTTGCAGCCGCCAAAGAAGTGACAGATTAAACTGCATTGAAGGTAATTTGAGGTCCGGATGCTTAATTACCGCGATGGGACAGGTAAATTAAATTGAAGAGTATTTGACGTCCGTCCCCTTTTTCTAGTATAAATAGGGGCAGCAGATGCAGTAAAAAGAACCAGATAAGCATACATACTTGAATTACGTGTATAAACTAGTATCTTCTTCAGAAATTTATTGACTTGGCCGTCGGAGTGCTAACTCCGGCCTAAGTCCGGTTCTTTTCTTCCTTTGTAGGTTTTCTGCGGTCCCCCGGTCTCAATCCAGGCCCATTCTACTCTTTAAACCAACCCACCACGAATCCGGTCGGATCAAATGGCGCCGTCTGTGGGAAATCGTTGAGCAAAACTGTGGCAACGTTTTCCTATAAAAAACACCTTTATCTGTTTTTCGTTAACCAGGATACGTTTATCAATGGCCTCGTTTCCCAGCATAGTGAGGGATCTAACCAGTCAGATGGAGGCCGAAGCAACCCCAGCCCCGCATGAGCACCAACCAACCGTCGGAGAGGCCTCTACCGCGAGGGAGGAGACGCCGCAGGCAGCCAACAGTACGGGAGGTAGCCCCCTGGTAGCCATGACTATGGAAATCCTACAGGCACTCTTGGCGAGCGCTATCCAGGAGGGCTCTGTGCGCACGTTAAGGGAGCCCCAGGCTGCGTCGCCCAAAAGAAGGATGGGGGAGATTGGGGGCGAGGGAGCGAGGGACCCGTCCGCGCAAGCTCCTCGCTCAGTGTGTTAAGCCCTTTTTCAGCCGACATTCTGGATGACGATTCACTCATTTCGACCTGTCACTTACGAATACTTGGGAACCACCGACCCTTGTGAACATCTCTGTCGCTTCAATAATACTTCGGATTTGCACTGATTTACTGAGGGAGTGAAGTGTCGGGTCTTCGCGACTACGTTAGCGGGAGCCGCCCAAGCTTGGTTCACCCAGCTGCCTGCGGGCACGATTGGCAGTTTCGACCAGCTAAGTGCATGTTTTATGGATCATTTCGCGAGCTCAAAGAAGCAAAAGAGGAGCACCTTGACTCTGTTCGCGGTCAGACAGAGGGAAGGAGAATACCTGCGAAGTTTTATCAAGCGTTTCATCTCGGCGACCTTAGAGGTACCAATTACCTCAGAGGAAGTTTTGATTAGCGCTCTAGCACAAGGGCTGCGGGCTGGCGATTTCTTCACTTCGCTCTCGAAAAAGCCTCCCGCATCTTTTAATGCTCTGTTGAAAAAAGCCGAGCGATATATGAACGCAGAGGAGGCAGTGCATAATAAATTTGGCGATAACAAGGGCGGTCTCGAGGCGAAAAGGGAAAAGAAAGAGGAGAGAATGCAGAAACCGACTCAACTGGCGAGAAGGGAGGTGCAGAACGAAAGAAAAATAGGACCTCGTTTTGACAGCTATGCGCCGCTGGTCGCACAGCCAGGAGAGATATTGTTGGCCATAGAGAATAACCCAAAGTTAAAGTGGCCTCGCACGTATGCAGAGGCCCCGAGGAAAAGCCCCACGCTGGGGAGTTTCTGCCGTTTTCATAATGATTATGGCCACACCACCAACGAGTGCCAGCACCTTCGTGACGAAATCGAGAGGCTCATACGCGCGAAGAATCTGCCAGAATTTGTGAAAGAAGGGAACCAGCGCCCGCAACAGTTCCCAGCTCGGCGTGCGAACGAGCCCCGCAAACCGGAGCCGGGAAGGGAAAAGCTAAATGAGAGGAAGGACCAGGTGGCGCCTGCCAACTTCATCAGCATGATTTTGGGAGGAACTTCAGGGGGAGACTCCAACAGGGCCCGGCGAGCGCACCTGAGACAGTTGCGAGAGACTGAGGAGTTATTTGGAGAGATAGAGGAAGCAGATCGGGCAAGCCGCGCGCACCTCCGACGCTTGTGCGAGATGGAAGCTCAGCTCGAGGAAGTGCAAAGGATATCTTACGTGCCGCCCATTATTTTCGGTCCCCAGGACGAAGAAGGAATCAGGCAGCCACATTCCGACGCCCTTGTGATTACTGCCATGGTAGCAAATTTTGATATCGCGAGGATATTAGTGGACACCGGCAGTTCCGCGGATGTTATCTACTATGACTGTTTCAGAAAGATGAATATGGATTTCGAGTTAAAATATGTAGAGACAAGCTTGGTCGGGTTCTCGGGAGAGTCAGTGCGGTCGATCGGAGAGGTATGCCTGCCCATTTCTCTAGGAATGGAGCCGGTGCGAGCAACCCGATCCGTGAAGTTTTTGGTACTGGATGCGCCTTCTACCTACAACATCATATTGGGGCGACCGTCCATGAACTCATTTCAGGCAGTAGTCTCAACCTACCATATGAAGCTGAAATTTCCCGTCTTAGATCAAATCGGGGAGGTCCGGGGGGATCAAGAGACCTCGAGGAGATGTTATTACGACGCATTGAGAAGAATAGGAAACATAGATGCTATTCGCACTGTTTCCCCAGGTAGCCAGGGGAAGGAGGACCGGATGCCGGAAGTAGACCCCGCAAAAGAAGAAGCCCACGTGAAGCCGATGGAGGAATTAATGGTAGTCCAACTATGCGAGAATGATGCCTCTCGCACCACCCGCATAGGTGGCGGTTTAGATACAGACATGTCTCGACAGCTGGTTGAGTTTCTAAGGCAGAATCAAGATGTGTTCGCATTCACTCCAGCAGATCTCGGGAGTATCGACGAGCAGCTCGTGGTGCACAGACTGAATGTCAAGCAGAATGCGAAGCCAGTCAAGCAAAAGCGTCGGCATTTTGGAGCAGAGAAAGACAAAATTATACAGGAAGAAGTGAGGAAGTTGTTAGCAGCCGGACAGATCTGGGAGATCCGTTTTCCTACTTGGCTGTCCAATGCAGTTTTAGTCAAGAAGGGCGAGGGAAAGTGGCGAATGTGCATTGACTTCAGGGATCTCAACAAAGCATGTCCCAAGGACTACTACCCTCTGCCACGAATCGACCAGCTCGTAGACTCGACCGCCGGTTGCGAGATGCTAAGCATGATGGACGCCTCGCAAGGATACCATCAAATTCCATTGTGCCTTGGCGACCAGCCCAAGGTAAGCTTCATCACCTCCACTGTAACTTATTGCTACACGGTAATGCCTTTCGGGCTGAAAAATGCGGAAGCCACGTACCAGAGACTAGTAGACAAAATGTTCAGGGACCAACTCGGAAGGAACATGGAGATATACGTGGACGATATGTTGGTGAAAAGTCAGAAGGCGAGCACTCATTTAGAGGATTTAAATGAAACATTCTGCACGCTCCGACGCTACGGCATGAAGCTCAACCCCAATAAGTGTGCTTTTGGGGTGAAAACGGGAAAATTCTTGGGTTACATGGTAACAGAAAGGGGAGTGGAAGTGAATCCGGAAAAGGTGCAGGCGGTTTTATATATGGAGGCCCCACGAAATATTAAGGAGGTTCAAATGTTGGCTGGAAGAATAACAGCTCTGAGTAGATTTATATCTAAGGCGGGAGAGGCTAGTCACCCTTTCTTTAAAATATTAAGAAAGGGGAGTCAATTCGAGTGGACGGAAGAATCAGGAAAGGCTTTCGAGCAGCTCAAGAATCTTCTCGCTCGTCTCCCGCTGTTGGCGAAGCCTGCGCCAGGAGAAAAGCTGTATGTGTACCTTGCGGTGGGCGAGTTCGCAGTCAGCTCGGTCTTAGTCCGAGAAGAAGAGGGAGTACAAAGCCCGATATATTATGCGAGTAAACTCTTGCGAGGGGCCGAGATGAGATACTCCGAGATAGAAAAGATGGGCCTGGCACTAGTGACGACAGCACGAAAGCTGAGACCCTACTTTCTTTCGCACGCAATAGTGGTCCGGACTAACCACCCTATGAAGACAGTGATGGGAAGGATGGAGGTTTCGGGAATAATGGTCAAGTGGGCAGTAGAGATGGGGCAGTTCGATATCAGCTACGAACCACGGATCGCCATAAAAGGGCAAGCCCTAGCAGATTTTCTGCAGGAGACGACGAGACCAGAAGAGCAAGGAGTATGGAAGGTGTTCGTCGATGGATCGGCGAATGCATCAGGAAGTGGAGTAGGAGTGTTGCTGGCGGAAGCGGGCGAGGAGTTGGAATACGCGATAAGGTTGCCTTTCAAAGCCTCAAATAATGAAGCAGAGTATGAAGCAGTTATACATGGGATGAAACTGGTATCTTCAGCCGGGGGCAGAAAGTTGAACATATTTTCGGATTCACAGCTAGTAGTACAGCAAGTCAAGGGCGAATTCGAGATAAAAAACGAGCAAATGATGGCTTATTGTGAGATAGTACGGTCGATGATGAGCGAGTTCGAATTCTGCGAGCTAGCTCAAATACCCCGAGAGGAGAACCAGCATGCTGATTTTCTGGCAAAGGTAGGAAGCATGGCGGTACAACGAGTCAAGGAAAATACAGTTGCTAATGGGGGAGCCATGTAGCGGGGGCGAGGAGCGTGTTGCGACAGTAACAGGGGGGGAAGATTGGCGGACGGAAATAAGGGCGTGTCTGCAAGGAAAGGTCCTAGCGAGCAGCCGAGCGCAGAGGGTCCTAGAACAGCGAGCAAGCAATTTGTGCATGATCGGGGATATACTGCACAAAAGGGGATACACTAGGCCG